AGCCCAAGGGCCTCTTGTTTTGATTAATCAAATACTAATTTTGTTCTTGAACTGTCTAACAGGACCATGCAGCTTGAAAATTATGATGCAAAAAATAAAGAGCAATATCTGATAAATGCCTAAAATGGCCCCTTAAAATGAATATCTTTATTTTACTTTATTTGTAGCTTTAATTTGTTCAGCTATACATGCAACCTTTATTGGTCATTTTCAAATTGATCAAAATGCGCCTAATACAGAAATATGACATCATAAAGTTCACTTTTTCCCGCCATTCTAGCATATTTTGTATAAAACTGCTTATTTTCAACTTTCAAGCATTTTTTCTTCCAGAAAGTATAGAGAACAGACTAGAACAAGCTTTATATTTTTACCAAAGATGTATCCATCCAATACTAATTAGTGACAGAAAAATTATGTATGTTCGATACTGCACTCTGTTTCCCATAAGACAAAACATCAAATAGGCGTATTTTTTTTTGCCTTTTTTGGTTAGATAGCAAAAATAGCATTATTTCTCAAGTCATTTTCAGCCAATGAGTGCATATAAACATGAAAAATATTTGGAAATATTTCAAGTATATCCTCTTCTTCAAATTAAATATCAATCAAACATATCTCAATATCATTCTAAAATGTTGATTTTTAGGGGGGCCAAAATTGGCTCTTATCATATATAGTCCTTTATAATTTGACATTGAAGTCAAAGGTCAAGGTGAAAAGAAGGTCATGGTATTTTATGACACATTTTCATTCCAGATGCACCAATCTGTTACATTTGACATTGTTTCTTATAGGATAAATTACTTATAATACCATGAACTATTTGCAGGAAATCATCTATAAATGTCTAAATTTGCATATCTTTGAATCTCCATAGCAACATTGTTTTTGATTGTCTACCCAATTTTATTTTTTTAATTCTTTAATTAACCCAACCCTAACAAAATCACACTAAAGAGTTTATAAGTAGTTGCACAGCATTTTTTTAAAAGCCTTTCAAAAAGTGGGGCAAATTCAACAATTTTTTTGTTCAAATCATATCTCTTCTTCCCATCACCATAGCAACGTACTGAAAAAATGTAATCATACTTAGTTGGTCACCTAAGAACTTAGAATTAAGTCCTCTTTAAGGATTGAGAAATTACAAACAATCTTTTGACAACATTTATGTGCATATATACTCTTTTTATTGCAATATTTGCCTGTTTTGATTGTATATTGTATATTGTTTAACGTCCCTCTCGAGAATTTTTCACTCATATGGAGACGTCACCGTATGCCGGTGAAGGGCTTCAAATTTTGACCTTTACTCGGCACTCAGGGCCATTGAGCAGTGAGGGATCTTTATCGTGCCAACGCCTGCCGCTGACACGGGGCCTCGGTTTTTAAGGTCTCATCCGAAGGACCCGCAACTTTCACTTCAAAGTGCCGAGCGCATGGCGAAGGAACAGTTGCTTCCCATTTTATCGACTGGGTCAGTCGCGGCCGAGGTACGAACTCACGACCTCCCGACCTCCCGATCACGGAGCGAGCGCTCTACCGACTGAGCTACCGTGAACGGTGCCTGTTTTGAAAGTAAAAAATCTAGTTTGGTAACTAAGGAAACGTTTTTCCTTGGATACGACAGTGTCGTTATGGTTAAAATCAGTATTTTTGTATTTTTTTTTTGTTTAATTGTGATGGAAATAATCCATAAACACTGATTTCAAGAAAATTAAAATTTTTGACTTTCCATTCAAAGCTCAATGCTTACTGGCATGGCCTCTTAATAAACTAACTAAGCACATAGTTATTATGAGCAAGAGTGCCTTCTTCCGGATTTGTGAATTTTATGGCCCCAGGGTCAGGGGTTCTGGTGTTAGGGCAGGGCTATACAGATTATATAGTAAAAATGCAGTAATTCTTTGAAAATCTTCTTTCTCTGCATCTGGGTATTAAATAAACAAACTAAGCACATACTTTTTATAAACAAGAATGCGTTTTTCAAAATTGTGAATTTTATGGCTCCACGGTCAGGGGTTCTTGTGTTAGGGCGGGGCTCTATTGATTATATAGTGAAAATGCATTAATTATTTGAAAATCTTCTTCATTTCTTCTGGATGTTAAATAAACTAACTAAGCACATAATTATGATGAGCAAGAGTGCTTATTCCAGATTTGTGAATTTTATGGCCCCAGGGTCAGGGGTTCTGGTGTTAGGGCGGGGCTATATGGATTACATAGTGAAAATGCATTTATTCTTGAAAATCTTGTTCTCTGCTTCCGGGTATTAAATAAACTAACTAAGCACATAGTTATGATGATTAAGAGTGCCTCTTCCAGATTAGTGAATTTTATGGCCCTAGGATCAGGGGTTCTGGTCTTAGGGCGGGACTCTATTGATTATATAATAAAAATAACCTAATTCTTTGAAAATATTTTCCTTTGCTTCTGGGTTTTATGTCAATGATCCAAGTATATATATTTATGATGAAGAAAGGTGCATCTAGCAAAGTTTTTTATGCCTCCTAGGTCGGGGGGGGGGGGGGCACATAGTCTAAAAATAAAGTAATGTTTTTAAATCTGCTCTTTTGTATTAAACAACTATTTCATATTAAGATCTGCAAAATGTTTAAATATCTTGCCCCTGGGTCAGTGCATTTTCTCTTTGTTACTCTGATCTACCTCTGGGTATTAAGCAAATAGAGTAGGCATGCTAAGTTAATAATTATGATAAGCAATGATGCCTTTTTTTAAAATTATGAATTGTGAATTTCATGGCCTCTGGTTTAAAACACGATTCAAATTTAATTGTTTGAGAGTTTTTACACAATACTCAGGTGCCCTATAAGGCCCGTGAGCCTCTTGTTTAACTTAGTTAATGATATATTTTATTAAGCCTTTTAATATTATTGAAACGAGATTCTGTAAGACAAAAATCAAGCAGGGATTAAAAAAAGTATCATTATTTCCTCATTATAAATATTCTACACAGCGTTTTATCTGATTGGTTCTGGCTTGTCATGTGATCGGCCTGTAAAACTTCATATATCACGGCCGTCGGCCCGCTTTTCATTATATTCTACCTCTTCGGAACAACAAGTGTATTTTCCCGCAATATAGTTCTTGTTCGTTGAATTAACACTCCCGAGAATAGTAGACGTCACAATATCCTGGTTTAAGTCAAAAATTGATGACAATGACTGTATTGATGGCAGGATTTTTTAGTAACTTTACGTAAGAAATAAAAGTGAATTTGAGAGCGTTGCCGAATTTAATAGCTTATGTTTATTTCAAAAGTTTTGCTTGTTAAGGTATAATAAACAATTCATTGCATGAATTTTTGGGAAACATGAAGACTTATTCAGCAAAGAAATATCATATTCCCCTTGGGCTAAGCCCTCGTGGAATGATTTTTCTAGTCTGAATAAGTATTCATATTTCCCTCACTCTTATGCAATAAATGTATAATATACAGCACAGAGAAAGATGTTAATGATATCTCTTTTAGCTTTCAATTTATAAGTAAAGTTATCATTTTAGTTTGTGTCGGTACATGTATTTATCTGAAATAATAAAATTTAAGGATCTGAAAACCAACCACTACTTTCGACAGACGACAATGTAACCTCTCAATTACGTAATAATATCCATCATTTATTCTTACTTTATTTGGGTCCTGAATGATTTTCCCATAGTAAGAATAAACGTTAATCATTATATTAAACCACAAATGCATATGATTATGATTTTTGTTTCAAGCTTTTTTGCAAAAGAGAGGGATTAAATTCATTTTCTCTCATAAAACTTTTTTTTTATTTTTAACAAAATGCCCTCTGCAAAGATTTGTGTATTTTATTTTCAGGGTGCATCACAATTTAGCTTAGAAAAAAAAAAGAAATTGTTAAAATATATTTTTATTTAGATAGTTATTTGCTTCTTAGATGTCATGTTTTGAGACAGTGTAAATAATTGTAAATGTATATCTACCTGTGAACATGAAATTCATGTTTAAATAAATGTTTCTTACATTTTGACCAGAGGAAATTGTCATTGATTATATTTGTGTCATAGAGAACTTTGTTGTTTTTGTCTGTTTGCCTAAATGAATGTATGAAAAGTACTTTTTTCCTCAAAAGAGGACATTTACATTTAGTTAAGGACCGCTATTTGATTCTTAGGGGAACAATAGACGATTCTATTTGCATGCTCTCTCAGGAAAGACTAAATCAGTCTACACTACCTTAGGATACTTCTTTATTACTAATCTAGTTTTGCTGTTATGAGTTGTGAGAATTCTTAAACACATTTGCAAAAAAATTTCTCTTCCTATGCTTCCAACCTTCCACAAAGGGGCATTTATTACGTATGTTTACAGTATATACATCAATATCGACTATGTTGAAGTAAATCAAAACAAGAAGCACGTGTTCGGTTTCCCTTTAAATACGTTACATGTTGAGTTTAGTTCCCTTTAAATACATGTTGAGTTTAGTTCTACAGTAAGTGTTAATTGCTGAAAATGCAAGGTTAGTATTTCTAAAACCAATTTTGAAAAATATCGTAAGCCTAAGTATGATTGTCTGCACATCCTCTCTCTCTCTCTCTCTCTCTCTCTCTCTCTCTCTCTCTCTCTCTCTGTATTGATGAGATTTTCTGATCTGAATCTTATAACGACGACAATTTAGTATAACTTTTAAGAAGCCAAACTTGTACATGTATGCAATCATATGTAGTATATATATTTCTCAATTAATCAGTTTGAATTCACAAATGACAATCTCAATATAATTGTATATTTTCAGCTTCAATACTGAGGTCACTTACGTGTATGGTGTACAGAAAAGTAAAACATTGCATATACAGGGGGAATACATATTCACATAAAAAATAACGTTTTGTGTGAAAACTACTTTACCAGGGTGACAACAGATAGAATCGTTTTGAATCTTGTATCATTTAAGAAACAAGGAATAGATTTCAATGTTTTCACTATATTTTCATTAACTTAATTACAGAAGTTTACGACGAAGATGACATTCTTTTGGGTGAGAAAGGTGAGCCTTTTTTATTTATATTTTTTTAGTAAGCCCTTTCTATATTAATCTAACGAGATCCGGGAAAAATCAAACAGGAATTACAAAACTATTATACAGCAAATTAAAAGCGTACTTTTCTGCATTTAGTGTACTTTAAAATCATTAGTTCAGTTTGTACATTTTGTTTTATTTGGTATTTTTATGAATTAATAACATGCTAGGATCCGAAATTATTAACCACTTTGACAGACGGCAATGTATCCTTTCAAATATGTAGTAATATCCATATATTATTTTCAATATATTTGGCTATTAAAAATGCAAATAATTTTTTTTTTTCAATTGTAAGAATAAAATTAATTAATTATTTAAGCAGAAAAATGCATTTTGTATATTTTTTTTCTTGTCAAGCTATAGGTTTTTCTACGAAAAGTAAGAAATTGTCTCATTTTAATTTAGTAAAGAAAACAGATAACAAATATGTCCTCGAACATATTAAATATTTGTTTTGACTGAAGAAATGTTTTACAAATCTATATGACTTTTCATTATCTGCTAAAGGTAGACAAAGGAAAATAACTTTAGATAAAATACTGATGATATTCGACAAAAATAAAAATACATGTAATTCTAAATAAAATGCATACACCACTCTGCTTGGAATGATATATTTTCCTTTCAGGGGGATTCTTTTAAAAATAACTTTGAAAATGGAAAAAAAGTGATTTAAAATGCACTTTTTTAATCTAGTAGATATTTGTTTCTTAGAAGAAAATGCTTTTAAACAGTGTACATGTATAACATTATATCTACACGTACATAAATAACTATTAGATATTTTATTTTGAATTTCATTCAAATCCATTTTTTTTCTTCTAAACTTTGCACCAGACACAATTTAAATTGATAATATTTGCCTCCTACATGAATGATTGTATTGAAACTCATTCTTTTTTTTTTTTTAGACATTAACATTTATTTGGGTACTACTATTCGCTATTGAGAAGAAAAGAGGTTCTATTTTCATGTCCTCTCGAAACAGAATATTTTTGCGGGGATTTTATTTCAAAGATAAGGAATTGTTAGGTAATTATGTATATAATAATTAACATTTCGTGATGGACTTGAATTCGACTATCTGGGTACTGTCCACTAATTGTTTTCCCATAGGCGACAATGTTAACGTTTCTTCTCATAGCGATGTCCCTAATTTTCGTTCGGTACTGAGTGACCCCTCAAATCAAAGCACATCAACTTGTCTTTCCTTGGTTAAAATCTCGAGGTGGCATGTCAGATTCGTTTTCCGGCAAAATGCGTCTGTCTGCGGGAACCTCTAAAAATGAAAGCGAAAGTAGGGGAATTTCAGAATTCACTGGCGTTATAATACACAAAATAATTCGGCTGATCTTCTTGATAAATTACATTTTCAAAGCTTTTTTGGTAGGAAAGATACTCCTTATCAACAAGTGTGAGGCTCAGTTCAGTACACCTGCCCAATTTTTTTTATGCAAGTCTGCAATTTAAGGAACATGTAATTTTTTCTGCACTTCTTTCTTCTCCTTAGAATATCTTTCACTGTAAAAGAAATTACTTGGCCTGCCTTTCACAGCGTATAAAATATATGTCATCATTACTAAAATCACGCCTTTTTATGCAGTTTTAACAATGCTGCATGCGGCGTACATTCATGATTGAATACATTTTATGAAAATATCCACAGACAGACGACAAAATACATCCTGTTTAAACTTAATAAAGGAAGTAAGAATTTGCAAGAATAAATTTGTGACTTTTCCCAAGAATACAATGTACACTGAGCTTTCACATTATGTTTAATTAACGCTTGAGCGTTGGTGTATTTGATTTTTGCATTTAAGTTACTGATATATTGCTGTGCAAGGGACTCAATTGTGCCCCCCCCCCCCCCCCCAAAAAAAAAAAAATAAATAAATAAAAACATGCATATAATGTAGGAAATATGTTAGTATAACTTCCTACCCTTTTATAGTTTTGTATTTACACCCCATGCTCTTTCATGTTTTCCTCGTTAATTTGATTAATATGATAACACTTTGTATCGCTGTAACACACCATATTCATAACATAATCTTTATGTTAAATTATTGATTTTCATATATAGATCAACGTGCTAAATCCATTTAAGGGGACCGACTGTAGTTTTCACTGCGCAATATTTTGCGCATCATAGTAAAAAGAAGAGTAAAATGATGAGTATTTACTGCTTTAACGCAACTTTTATCGCTTTATTAAATTACGATTGATTGTATACTGTTTAATGTCCCTCTCCAGAATATTTCACGGATATGGAGACGTCACCATTGCCGGTGAAGGGCTGCAAATTTAGGCCTATGCTCGGCACTTACGGCCTTTAAGCAGGGAGGGATCTTTATCGTGACACACCTGCTGTGACACGGGGCCTCGGTTTATACAGTCTCATCCGAAGGACCGCCCCGTTTAGTCGCCTTTTACGACAAGCAAGGGGTACTGAGGACGGGGGTACTGAGGACCTATTCTAACCCGGATACCCACGGGGGTATTAAATTACGAAAACATATATATATATATACCTTGAATAAATCAGTGCTTCATTATGACGTCATAGTAGGCCAGGTGACATCAGTTCTAGAACACAAGTTTTCGTAATATTGATATTTTGAGATACAATTTAACTCTAGAAAATGAAAAGAAAGGTGTAACCATTAACAATAATTAAACGTTCTTACTTTGTTATGCTGTATTTTGTCATTTGGATTAAAATCTACCACCGATGACGTCATATGTGTACATTAAATAATTTTGAAATTGATCATGTCGTGTAAAGAGAATTTTACTGAGACGGCATATAAAAAGAAACGAAAAATGGAGTTTAAAAGCAAATATCATGAATACTTTGTGAAACTCATTGGAGTTCAGTAAATAAAACAGGTATGCTAATTTCTTTTCATCCGCTATCTACGTATCCCGGCCGACCTTTCCAAAGTCATTTGTAACAAAAATAATGCAACAGAACAACATTAAGCTGTATATTTCAAAACATAAGATTTGTACAGATGGAAAGTGCTGCTAGAATCCCGATTTGAGCATTGTTTTACCAAAAAATCTCAATTCGTATGTAAAAAATTCAAAAGATTAGGTAAGGTTTTGTGCGAATGTGTTGAATCATTATTTTAGTGACAGGACAGTGGGATTCTAGCAGCACTTTTTAGGCAAAGTAGATGTTTTTCGACTACAATATTTACTCAAAGAAATTATTACACTCCAGGATATACTTTTTTGTTAGCTTTTTGGGAGTTGAACTATGTTCAATCTCACATGGCCGTCACGCGATTTCTAGCGCAGTAATTTTACAATGAATTATATAGTGGCTGTGGTGGTGCTTCTGTGTCGGCCGATTTAATACCTAGTGATATTCAATATAAACTCGCATCATTCTGAATATACTCACAGAAACGTCCGCGATAAAAATAGTGCATCTCATTTTTCTGAAATAATCTAATTTTCATCAATGATTTGAAAGTAAAATAAAATGAATTTTATTTAACTAACTTGAATAGCATATTTTTGTCATATCTCCTAGAAATGACTCATACATTTGATTTGAATAGTCCAAGTTTTCTGTCATTTATTAACTGACAATCCTCGGCTGACTCCACTACGCCCCAGTGCTGTTAAAAGTTTATTTTGAATAGTAAAGTTTTTGATACGTAAGTTTAGTTCATTTTCTCCTTTATATACCAAGTGGTTCGATGGCCATGTCATTTAAAGGAATGACAAGATTTAGGAAAATCTTTGGAAAAGGTCGGAATTATTTAAAATAGAGCTTTTGTCTGCTGTTAGAGTAGGAAGCTGTGAAATACATGTAATGTCAAAAGGAACGCTAAGGTTTTACACAACTTCTTTCAATTTGTTTCAGCATTGAAAAGACAGAACAATGTTTCGTTTAAAAGATAGTACGGGAAAAAATATCTGTCAGACATTTATTTGTTCTGAGAAGTAAAAATATCTGTTAGACTGGAAAAAGTGTTTTCAGACCAGATACATGCAACTCATTTTTTTTCATTGTAAAGGGAGAAAATAATAGCATTTGAATGCTATTCAAGATTTTTGATATTCGATATCACGATTTCAAATGACATTAATTTTTAATTTCATGACTTTATCAGCATTTAGTTGGTCACGTGTTCATCACTGGAACTGAACTTATGTTCGTGCTTTAATTAATAATTAATAAAACAATTAAAATGAATGAATACATGTGTATGCAGACACAATGCTATGATAATCCCAATGATCGATGTGTGAAACATATTGTTCCTCGTGTTTTTTTCTTGTAGTAGCTCGTTAAACTATGTCTGATTTTTAGTTACATTTAAGTCAAATCAAAATCACAAAAACTAAGTGTCACTCGCGTGGCGCAGTTGTTAAAATAGTTTGCTCTAGAGATTCAAAGTTAGGTGTTGAATCCTTGCGGGATGCATTTTGAGATGAACTCTTTTGATGAGGCCATTATAAACCGATATCCCATTTCGCTGTAGGTGCTGGCACAAAAAGACCCCTCACTGCTCAATGGTTCTGAGTGCTGTATATAGGTAAAATTTATAGACCTACATGTAGCTAGCTCCATCGGCAAGTGGTACTGTCTCAATATGAGTGAAAAAATTTTCGAACTTAAAACAAACAAAATGTTAAGTATTTAGACATACTTACTTCTGTATAGAAAATACGTGAAATGAAATTTAACATTTTAGAATATAAAGATAGATACATTTAATAGAAAGGATAAGCAGATAATTCTATAAAAATTAATTATTATGTTCTAAAAAAAACCATTCACACCCAAAAGAGAAAAACAAATGCTTGTTTTAATCAGAGAAAGAAAAATAACAATCTAGTGTCTGTTGATAGTAACATCGAATTTAAAGAGTGTTTGTTTCTTTGTTGGGACCAAATATCTTGTACACATTCAAAAGAAAGAAGGGGGCGTTTTGATTCAAATGCTTCATAAGTATGAGGGCAGTGCCTGAGTAATAAATGGTACTGAAAAAAGTTTAAATCCTACCCAAAAAATAGTATTTTCGAGTTTGGAGAAACTTTTTTTTAGTAGTGGGGGTTGTTTGTTTGGTTTAGTCAAATTGTTTTCAGGTTTTTATCAGGGAAGTTGAAATCTTTTTCTCTCCTCCCCCTCCCCCCTTACACACACTTTCAAAAACGGTGCTAAGTAAATTGAACTTATTTCTAATGCTTGGTGCTTGGCTAACACGACAAATTTTCCTTTGTTAATTTCTACCAGGAACAAGTATGGGGAGTTGCGTATTAGATTGTACCAGAGAATGCTGAGTCTGTAAGAGCTTACCTTGACCACAGGGAAAAGGCAGGTTACTCCTGTGCACCACCTCCTATCTTTCAAGTATTTTGCGATTTGACAAGTCCAATAATATTGTTTGAATAAATAAACATTATCACCAGGATGCACATACAAGTTTTTATTATCTTCACATTCCGAGAATTACCTTTCAAAAGAATTCATAGCGCTGATATACCTGATACCTTTGACATTAAAGGGGTAAATATATGTTATTAGACCCCTATTGGTGAAACCGGGGGGACTATAGGTTTCCTCTGCGTCCGTCCGTCCGCCCGTCTGTCTGTCTGTCCGTTCGTCCGTCTGTCCGTCTGTCTGTCCCCGTCAGTTTTTCCCACTTGGTTTTCCACAATTTTTTCTAAACGCTTGTAGATATTGAGCTGAATTTTGGGATGTGAGTTTATCCTAAGGAGTTACAGATCAAGTTTGAATTTCGCTTCGCTACATTCATTTTTGACAGAATTGTGGCATTTTTTATATTTTTCAGAAGGCGAGCATTTTTTTTTATTTTTAGGTTTACAAACCCGCCGCTCAAGATTTTCAATTTTCAGAAAAAAAAAATTGAGAAAAGCAGAATTTTTTCTTTCCTATGTCAAATTTGAGTTGGGATCAAATTTACGAACTCGTACTTCCGGTTTTAAAATCAACATGGCGGTAAATAAAAGGTAGATCTGCACAGTCCATAGCAGCACCATTTCTATGTTAAGTGTAAGAATTTATCGATATGAGTGCCATTCAGAACGTTTCATCTGTTCAGAGGACAAAAAATCCTGACGACTTTGTTGCAAAATGACATGTTGGTGAGATAATTATGCATTCGTATTCAAAAATATCTCTCTGTAAATTATTTTCCTCTCACAGGTTTAAAACTGCCTGTGGTAGCTATTGCCAGAGAAAATGTTTAGGTCTCTGTTATAGCTTACAGCCCAAGCATAATTCTTTAGAAAAGGGTCGCTTTTGCATCGGATGATCATGTAATGAATAAAACTATTATGGGAGAAGTTTATTTGAGGAAGAAAAGAAAAGCCTAAAGAAATGAAATATTTCAACTATTAAAAAACAAATAATTCATTTACAAATACATACAGCCAGGCATGTAGTATTGTTTGAATGTGGCAGCCAGAAAAATTATTTTACACTCAATTGAACAAAAAAAAAAAAAAAAAATTCAACCCACTCCTGAATAACCCTGCACGTCTGTTTTATGACAGGAATTATTATTTTAGGTCTCAGGTATATTTTAGAACATTAATTTCCACACATTCACATTACAAATATTAAAAACAATGAAGATATATTGAGTTTTTAAAAAAATGATTTTTTTTAAAATCTGTATTTTTTGACCAGCATCACAATGTTTACTTCACTTGCCTCAACTGGTAGACAATGAAATGAACAAGCAATAAAGGTTCTATTTGTAGCCATTAATATGTGTCCAGTGGCAAGGATCCCGTTAGAAGAGCACCAAAAAAACGCAAAAATGAATGTACAAAAGTCGAAAATTTATCCCAAAATATAATTTTATTTTTTTTTATTTCCTCCTCCTACGGGACTTTTTCATTTTGATGTTCGTAAACCTAAAAATAAAAAAAATTCTGGCCTAATCGTTCAATGAAGATCGGGTTCGAACTGCGCTTACTTCCGATGGTCGACATAAATACGTATAAAGCGAGGAAAAGACGGTGGAAAAATGAGTTGAATTTTCGTATAATACACAGTACGTAGTATAATGTACGGATTATTATTTTATTTTCAAATGGATGTAAAAGTGGGTATAAGTAGATACTTCAATTAGATTCATATGCCTATATAATTTTTATAGTCAGTCATTAATAGCTACATAGATAAGATGTAGTATGGTGCTGTTTAAACTTTAAATTTGTGTTCGATTCTAACGTGAGTGTGTAAATAGATGAATATCTAAGTTTTGTACCTTTTTGAAACCAAATTGATAAAATAACGAGAACATTAGAATGATATGATCGTCTCCATTTTCTATATTCATGACAATCTCTCTCTCTCTCTCTCTCTCTCTCTCTCTCCTTTCTTTACTAATAATTTTTTATGATTTGAATCTTTATATACAACTATTTTGAATAAAGTTTAAATAGCCAACTCTTATATACAATCATATCAACTATTTACCGTAGTTTATCAATTTGAATGTACAAATTATATTGTAAATATATGTTGTCCCTTTTAATACTGATTTCAGGTACCTTTGAAAAAAAGTAGCTAAAATATTGATTATACATCTAGAATATATGTACACGGGATTTTAATATAAAAAACAATATGAAGACTACTCTATCATGATGACAAGAAATTGTATCATTTTGAATCTTGTATGATGAAGAAAAAAGTAAAGTGAATATATTTCAATGAATTCAGTGTAAGACAATTTCATCAACTTAAGCATCCAAAAATGAAGAAGGAAATTTTCTGGATTCTGCGGGCCTTTTTGATATTTTATCAAAAATTCAATTCTTACTTCATACAAAATATAAGAATTACATCAAACATGGATTACGAAAATTGTGTACAGCATTTTAAGGTATATTGATACTCTGATAAGAGAGTTAAATCTTAATGACACAAACGTCTATTATTCCTTTATAAGTCTGTGAAGTTGAAGTGCTGTCTTGCCAAATTTTGCCCCGCAAGCCATGCTTTAATTGTCTGTATTTCATTTAGCATATTCATTTCCTTTGGAAAATCATAAATATTAAAGAAAAAATTATATGAGTGAGCAGAGGGTTTATAAACCTTAAAGATTTTTTTTTACTTTCAATTCAGTGAAGTTTTATGACATTTCTCGAAATAACCCTATTTTAATCATGCTTCAAATTATTTACTATGACCAAGGTGTTCAATTTCAGCAAATTATTGAAAGCAACATTTATATTGTCAATATATTTTATTATACATCAAGGTGTCACTGTCAATAATGAGGTCAGGTACATATATAAAGCACATAACATTGATTATACATGTTGGATTAATATTACATGTAACAGAATGTTAATATGGAAAAAAAATGTGTCTGAGAAAGTGTGATGGTGTGTGTTTATGAAGACACACACATCATGTTTACAGCAAATTTAATCTTCTTAAATTTTTATCTTTATTTAGCAAACAGTGAATGCATTTCAATGCGCTCACTATATTATCATTTTATCAATTTCAACATCTCCGAAAAGAAATTATCCGAATCAGCGGATTGGCGTTTTTCAATAATTTGTTGAAGAATGTATTACATGGTATCGAAATGTACAACATTAATAATATTCGTGGAATGCATGTTCTATAAAACCTGAGTATAGAAAAAGTTGTTTTAACATTACTTCTATTTCTAATGAAAATACTTCATCTTATATTATTAGTTGTAGCTAGCCGAACATAATATTTTTCAGAGCTTACACTGTAGTTTAATTTGATCAATTTCAGGAGAACATAAAGAAGATAAAAGTCATTTACATCAAACAAGTAAGCCCTTTTTATTCACACATTTGATATAGCAATCTTATCGGCAGATTAACAATCCTCAAGAACCAAAAATTTAAGGTATTCAATCCCTAAAAGGAATAAATTCAGTGAAAATATGAATACATAACAGATATGTAGGCATTAAATACTCGGTTTATTTACACATACGTCCCATTTATTACTATTCATGAGGTGTGTCCTAATTTATGACCTTAAATTTTGGTAAGAGTTATCTACTCTCTTTTAAATTTACTTAAAAAAATCAATTAAAAAAAATAGTCGGTAAAAAACTGTTTTCTGTTGTCATTCTTTTTTTATGTTTCAATGCATCTTTCCACCGCAGGTTTTATTGATATTCAAAATATTTGCAATTTTTATTTAGGTAAAAAAAACCGCTTTTTCCCATAGACTTTAATGCAATCTTTGTTAATTACTTACCGCTTACTTAATGAAATTTTTAAAACTTTCTCGCGGGCAATCATTTTCCAGTATAAAATGCTTTAATATAAAACAGAGTACTATGTACTAGACAGAGAATTAAGGGTGGTCCCATTAGGGATGGAAATCCTTAAATGCTTGAATTATAATCTGTATTTACATATACATACGATGTGCTTCTAATCTGATTTCACCTGTATTTAAGAGGCACAGTTCGTATATTTATATATTGGCCCACTGATCAGCATTATTTTTTTTTCGGGGAAAAATCTTTTAAGGATATCCGATCCTCAATCAGGAAGGATAACTCACAAAATTGATTTTTAGTTTGAAATGCATCAAACTGAAGATTGGAAATGGAATTTTTTCATGCAATAGTTTTCATTTTATTCATGTGTATGCAGTTCAAGGTTCTTAGAAGTCGTCGAATAGGTCTAATCAAAGTTGGCATTTGTACCCGATAAATTGAAAAAAATATATATATTTCAGTTTTAGAAAAAATAATATTTTCTTGAATCCAGCCTTTGATAACAATACTTATTATCATGATATATAAATGAGAAGTGGTTTGTGGTGTCGTGCAGTGGAAGTAATAGCCTTTTATACTATGTATTATAGAACACATGACGGAAATAGGAGACAAAAGATACTAAATAAGTATAAAAATCGTAAAAAAAAAACTTTAAAAATCTTTTTTAAAAATCCTTAAACAAATAAATAATTTGACTTTACGAATTTCTAATTTGTCCGAGGAAATATCTAAATGGTCCGAACAAATTGATAATAAGTCCGAACAAATGGTCCAATTCCTCAAAACGCAGCACTGTTAAGGCCTACTATGAGAAATCAAAAAAAAAAAATATATACGTGCAAAAAGGGGGGACCTTTTTAAAAGTGAGTTTATTTTAACTAAGCTGTTTTATTATAACAGAGCACAATTACTTATGGAAATAGCATAGCATAACCCACTCTGTACTGTATGAAGTTTGGTCCCATAGATGGACTGTCATGTAATGAATGCATAGTTTGTGTACTAAATGTAGGTCAAGAACAAATTTCAATATCGCAAGGGCATACCCTAGTTGAAATTAAAAGTTCAAGCTATCAATTCTTTCTGCATACTTTGTAATTTTTGAAAAGTGCCGCTGCTTTGAATAGAATTCGCTTTATAATAGTTAAATTTTCAGGTAAATAAGCCAATTTCGAAATATGTTTGACTTTTACCAAATATTTTGTCTACTTATTAAATTACGCTTTCGATTTAAAGAAAGCAGCAGCACTTCAAGTTAAGAAAAAATATCCTTTATCTATATTCAAAAAATGGTTAAGATCTATTAAGTGTATGCCCTTGCGAAAGTACGATTTTATGAGGCATCTCGATGTAAAATATACGTAACCTGTACACAAAAACACGACATAATTTATAAAATGCATTCTCTTGATAGTTGATTAATAATCGCACTAAACAAAAGATTTGCATTGGTATTAATGGACTATTTAAAACCTGTATTTTAATTTGTAAATACCTATGATGAAATCATACTGACGTAACATCCTATCATTTATAAATGAATTCCTATTTTGAACATAAACTTTAATCTTTAAAATAATTAATTGAAAGAATAAGTTCCTTTAACATGAGATATTTTAAAAATACATATAAAAGCAATGTCTCGTATTAAATGTCGGCAATGCTCATTTTATTTAATCAATGTGACCTTAATTTATGCGAAAAACCATGTGAGCTTAATGAGTTCGTTGAGTGGTCTGTTTTACAATACTTTATCGTATTTTTCTAAGTCATAATTTCTTTCAAAGCATTTCTTTTATCTTTTAGCTACATAATATAACGTATCTACGAACATGCAATAAACAGATCTGATCCCCTTTTTTTCGTAATATAGTTCAGGTTTATTTTAATAATTTTGTTCTTATAATTTTCAAATTGATACATGTTTTCATTTGTAGACTGGGTAGACAATTACAACGTATGGAAGACATATTTATCAGGTGAGTCATTTACGATAGAATACAAACTTTTAAATCGGTATATTACTTTAAAGGAGACATGGCGTAATTTTTCTGCCCCCGTAAACGAAGTTTTTTTCGTATTCGTCCATCTGTCCGTCTAGCTGTCTCTCTGTTTCTCTGTTTGTCCTCAAAAACTTTGAACTTGCCCATAACTTTTGATTTAGCTGATCTATGACATTAATATTTAAGATGTGTATTCATGTGACAATGCCTATCTATGGGTTTTACCAAAGTTGACCTTATGTCCCTGGAGTTTTACCCACTTTTACACAAAACTTCTTAATTTCTACTTTGGTTATATCTTTTGAACAGTAGATACCAGGACATTTGTACTTCAAATATGCATTCTTTTTGGGAGGACCCTAGATTGGATACCACCAATCTTGTCTTTTTGACCTTGACCGAGGAGATTTCTGTACTCGACATGCTGAAAAAAAACCAAACCTTGACCATATCTTTTAAAGGGTTAGAGCTAGTGCTATCATACTTTATTTATTCAATCCATGTGAAAATACTTTTCATTTGATATCAAGCCCATTGATCTTTTGACCTTGAAGTTTGACCAACATTTTAAATTTTCTTTTGCTTTGGCCAAAAGATTTGAACGGTTTTCCTGGGACTTTCGTACTTCACACATGTATTCTTCGTGGCAAGACCTTTCATCGGATACCAATAACGTTGACCTTCTTTCCTTTACCTAAGAGACACGTGTCAAATTAAGCATTGATAGTTACAACTAAAGAATTGTTTAAAAAAACAATTAACAAAGAATGAAATTAAGATTTACGATTTACAAATTCAGGTTTACATGTACGTGTACATTTTAAGAATTACAGAGTTGGAATTTTGAACCCGTTGGCTTCTCATACAGAAGTGCTTCTACCAAAAACAGGGGCGTAAATTTTATGCCCTTTCCCTTTTGCACAAACCATGGAGCGTTTCGTGTAAACCATGCAGCGTCTCGAGCAAACAGTATAGCGTTTCGTGTAAGCTGTTCATGTAAGCCTTTTAGCGAGCATGCGAGAATCGTGTGAGAAACGTGCGACCTTCCTGTAAGAACAGTGCGGCTTTCGTGGAAGAATCATGTAAGAAACGTGAGATTCCTTCAGAAGTCATTTCATTTTAAGGTTTGCTGGCCCTCTCATAAGACCGATAACTATCAAAGTACAAAGTATGAATACTACTCACAGTTTTCTTAATCAGGGTTTCCTAACTGAGAAATTTTGGTAGTCATTTCGATGAAATTAAACATATGATGGAAGCATAACTTTCTATTTCTTTTACCAAATTCTTTGTTATTATTTAATTAAATTTTACAATGAAACATTTAAATCCAAATTCAAAAGCCTTATAAATTGAATAAGCTTTATCTTTTAAGGACCATTTTAAAATTGGTTTAATGTTTCAAGTACTTAATAGAGCATTTTTCTTCGTGTGCTATTTTTCGCACATGAAGAAATATTTAGAAGAAAGATAAATCGTCCTCAAAGATGTATTTTTTTTTCTTACAACCACATACAGCATTGTGATTTTCTGACTAAGGAAGTATCACTTCATGGTGTTTTAGAACATGATTTTAATAGGTATGATACTAAGTATTATTTTCAAATGCACCTCATGTTTTTAGTTTAATGTTGTGATAATAAATCGTTACTTTTTCTGTTCTCTGTTGTTGAATTTCTTCATATCATGATGTGTCAAAAAAATTATTTCTAAAAAAAAAAACACCTCTTCATACTTCAAACTATTTTCTATGTGACTCTAATGTTGTTTATGAAAATCGATATAGCAAATTTTAAATTTTCAAAAGTAAAATTTTTAGCAGAGGGTCTAGACCACTTAGATGTGGCTAGCTATCGATAAGTCAGGAGTTTAAATCATGTTAGTATTTTATTAATCGGAATTATTTAGTTTGGTGTATTTTAATATTATAAAAACATGAAAAAAATGGAAACAACAAAATAAAATTAAAGTGAAATGTATAATACATTTATTTGCGATATTTGTACAGAAAATGCGTTCAATTGAATTACAGTTAATTATGTACGGCGATTTTAAGGACATTGAGATCAATATACCAATACTATTAACGCAAGCGTGGCTTTTTAATTAATATTTTTTTTCCTCAAAGAACTCCATTTATGACCCTGATTTAGTCTTAATATCAAAAGTATGCGAGGAAAAAAAGTTTTGAAACGATGTGTGATCTTATAGCCTTTGATGAATTATTTTTTGTTTTATATAATAGATTAATAAAATATACTCTTTATTCCTAATGATATACACAAATTTATAAATTTGGAAGGAGGAGGGTACATGTATTCAGTTTAATGAAAGAATTTTTGAAAATGTCTTATTTTCTTTCCTATTTGAAATCCTTTGTTAATTGTGTGTGTTGATTCACCCCTTAAAACATATTGGAATCTTCTTCCGTCATTCTCCTGTGACCAAGGTAGTTTGCAACAGCGATACTACGAATGCATAAAACTACAAATCTGTTTAGCTACATGTACATGACACCCGATTTTTTTTCTCAAATAAAAAGGTTCTAGTAATATTGAATGGATACAACATATTATATCCATGGATTTCATCTTTTATTATTAAATCATAATTTCTATTTGCACTGTTGTGACGGGGATCCTCCCTGTGACTTGCACTGATTAATAATTAATATTTTTTATTTACACCATTTAATATGTACATATTTAAAACACATATATTTATACACTGTAATAATGCACTAAGTTCTTAATTAAAAGACACTTCCACCTTCATCGACATCTAAACTTATTCTCCTCTCTTCTCTCACGTGTTCTCAGAGCATGCCAAATCTCTTATTTCCCATTTTCTCAAGCAAATCAACCTAATAATCACTTTCATCTCTTCGAACTCTATCAAACACAATAAACAAACGATAGTATACCTGACAAACAAAGAAGGATATGGAGATAACGAACATTATTCAATCTCAACGTCCATTAAACAATATACAAAATAGAAGCAGAGCAAACACGGACCTCCAAAACATCAGAGGTGGGATCAGGTGCCATGGAGGATTGAGCATCCCCTGCCGACCGGTCACACCCACCTTGTGCTCGTTGTCATGATCAGGAAATAACGGTAAAAATCCTCGTCAATTCAGTGTATAAATAATGGACTAACAATTGGTATGAAAAACGTCAGTCAGCATTTGACACAATGATAAATTGTATTTTCTGACAAGGTCATTGTATCGACCATAGAATTTACGAAATGATGGCTTTAAACGAGACTGTTGATATTATTTCTTGTTTCATCAACTTGCTTGTCAATAATTTACCTCGTTTAAGAAAACTGTTCATACGTAGAGCACGCTCTTGTGTATCGAATCAACTGAGATATATATACTCCGTATGCAGGTGATGAAGGTATATTGCTGCATAAGTAAGGGGAGTAGACGATAGAAAAGTTAAAGTCATCATGTTTATCATATAGCTTGGTTGTAAGATTACCATTAGTGTCTTTTTCAAGTAAAATATCCAAGTATGAAGCAGAAGTGTCGGACTTTTATCTCAAGCTCACCAGGATATATCGTATCGACGTAGGAATGGAAATTATCATTATTAATTGACAATACGTCGTCGATATATCTAAATGTCGAGTTGAAGGCCACAGCAAGTGTTTTCTTCTTTTCACGCATAAGATTTTGCATAAATTCGGCTTCCTATGAATATAAAAGTAAGTCTGCTAATAATGGAGCGTAATTTGTACCCATGGGAATTCCAATAGATTGTTGGAATACCTGGTCTCCAAAAACCACATAGATATTGTCAATCAGAAACTCGAGCATCTTCTTGATGTCATCTTCAGAGTACTTATGTGTGCAATCAGAATCTGTTTTAACAAAATAATTTTTCAACTGACCAATGACGAGGTAAGTAAATTTACGACTTCCATTTTTGTTGAAGAAGCAGATGTCAATGATATCAAAAAGCCTGGATTTTAATTTGTCGTGGGGAATTGTTGTGTATAAAGTTGAAAAGTCGTAAGTTTTTAAGCTGTTGATTTTTGTAAAGTCTTGTGATTTCAAATTGTTTAAAAGTTCTTTAGAATTTTTAAGTATCCACATCTGAATTACACCACTTCTTGAATATATAGTTGCACAGTACTCTTGAAGTTTTTCCTTCACTACTGTCAATATTTTAGTGAGAAGTAACAGAAGAGGTGGGTTGAACATTTACTGGAACGTGCTATGTATCTTTGTTTGTAAGGATTCGTATGAAGTTTCGGAATCCAATATATATAAGGTAGTTCAAATTCATTTTGGCTCTGTGGAATATTACAAGTATTCAAAACTGACAGGTGATTTTGAAAAATTTCTTCCATAGAAAGAGAATTATGAGTATAAGTAGAATAACCACTTGTAGAATTGAATCCAAGTTCTTCTAGAATGCAATTTATAAAATGAGCCTTACAAACAAAGACAATGTTGTTACCTGCTTTGTTTCAAAACAAATAAATTATAAATCCATGCTTGCTCACTGTCTTTAGATTTTCTCTAACTAGCTAAAATGACACTCTTGACACTCTTGAGAAACATCGCTTACGCCGCGCACCTGCAACCTTATCAGATCTTCTAACTCTTTCATTTACAAATATTTAACTTGGGCGGTTCTGCGAAACTGTATATATTTTAAAATCTTTCTACAATCCAGTGTAATATGAAATATTTCACAGAGTTGTGCTACTTCCGAAAGATAGTAATAATTCTTATAATTTTCTTATAATTTTCAGAACAGTTCTCCACCCTGACTGATGGTGAGGTGTCCGTGTTATTCTGTTTTCTGTGTTCTGACTCCGGTTCCCCTGACTTCACTGTAACAGAGTGGCTGGATTTGCTTAATAACATACGACAAAGTGTGTTAGATAAAGATAATCCTGAAACACGTGAGGAAGCACAGCAGACTCTGGACAGACTGAGGTCACGTGATTACCTTTGGGAAGATCAGGACAAGATGACAGAGAATACAAAGGATGAGACAATGTATAGGATAACATTAAAAAATCGTTATATTCCATTTTATCACAGTAGTTATCATGCAGCCAACATGTACCTGAGGTCACGTGGATACAAAAGAAAACCTGAAGAGAAGTGTGTCATTGGGGTTGCTGATTACCTTCTGATACGCCGTCTACAGATGAACATACTGACTCACGTCACCATGGAGGACACGAGTATATATGATGAGATACACCAGATATGTAAGTCATATAAAGAAATGTAAATTATTTTACGATGTATGTTGATATTGACCAGTAATTGACTTAGAGACACTTCAGGAGAGATACTAAATGACTGAAGAAAGACTTTATCTAGAACTGAGCCTGTGCGCATAACACAAGTATGGAGAAACATTTATGACATAACAGACATACATAAAACATTAACATTGTCTAAAAAAAAAATTAACGAATTTATTAAAACCATATGAATAAAAGGACTAATCATTACCGTAAATATTGTGCTATGTGGGATATTAATCAATATTAAATAAATAAATAAATACATCTGCATTCATTCTTGTTTGAGATAATGTTTACTACTATACAGAGGTGTGCAACCGGTATATCGGTATAAAATCAATTACCGGTATTACACGATATTTATAAAAATATGTAAAAACCTCTTTTATTTTAGAAACAACTTTTTTCTAGCTTTAATTTTAGTGTAACCAAAATGAAATTTTCATACCATTTATATTGTTTTATTCTTTAGGTGACATTTTATGATTCATATACTTCAGAACCCCCCCCCCCCCCCCCCACACACACACACACACACATTGTTCATTATTTCTTAAATTCTCTTGGACTATTTCAAATTGAAAAAAAAAAGGTTTATACAGAGTACATTGTAAACATGTATAATATTTTAACACTTTTTATATATTTTAGCTCACCTGAGCTAGAGGCTCAAGTTAAACTTGAAACATCAGTTGAAGGCTGAAAGTTAAAGTTTGAAACTTTAAACCGATTGTAAACTTTTCACATTTTCGACTTCTTCTTTTCAAGAACCACTTGGCCAATTTAGACAAAACTTGGTACAAGGCATCCTTGGATAAAGAAAATTTTAATTGTAAAAATGAAGGGCCAAGCCGCCTCACGAGGGTAGATAATTGAGAAAGACAAAAATAGGGTTGGATCATTAAAAACTCTTCTTTATTAGGAACCACAGGGCCAGAAAGGCTTAACCTAATGTGGAAGCATCCTGGTGTAGGGTAGTTTCTCAATTGTTCAAATCATAACCCCCTGGGGTCGGGCGGGACCACAATAGGAAATCAAAGTTTTACATAGAAATAAATAGAAAAAATCTTTAAAAATCTTCTGATGAAGAACCACTCGTCTAGAAAAACTGAAACTTACGTGGAAGCATCCTGGGATAATGTAAATTCTAAATTGTTAAAATCATGATCATAGGGAGTAGGGCGGGGCCACAATGGGGAATCAAAGTTTTACATAGAAATATATAGGAAAAATATTTGAATATCTTCATCTCAAGAAACCCTGGGCACGAAAAGCTAAAACTTATGTGGAAGCATCCGGTGTAGTGTAGATTCCAAATTGTTCAAATCATTTCCCCCGGGGGTCAGGCGGGGCAACGATAGGGAATCAGAATTTTACATATAAATATACAGAGAAAATCTTGAAAATCTTGTTCTCAAGAACTATTGGGCCAGAAAAACTGAAACTTATGTGGAAGCTTCTAGGGATACAGACCCTGAAAGGGTCGACTTTCCCACCTGAACAGTGAAAGCAGAGCGAACGGTGAGTGAACGATATGCGAACGCTAAGCGCAACCTGGTGAACGATGTGTGACCGGTGAACGGTGAGTGAACGCAGAACGCGAACGGAGAGCAAACGCGAGTGCAAAGTGAACGGTGAGCGAACGGTGAACACAAGATAAATGATTTATTCGGAATGACCTTGACCTTTTCCTTGCATTGAAATTATTGTTAATCTTTAACTAATTCTAATTTTTGGTGCTAAAATATAAATAAACGATAAACAAATGAATTATAAAAACAATTTATTCTGCACATACATGTTCCGATGTTTAAAATCGATATTTTAATAACATGATTTTAATTGCCGTTAAACATGTGCAATTGATTCATGTACCGAACACGTAAAGTTTAAATATAACATTAATCTACATGTATACTTGCTATGCTTATTCTTTTAACGAATAAAATAATGCAGACTTTAGAAGATGAAATTACAACTTATAGAATGAATTAATTACATTGTACCCGATTTAAAAAAAAAAAAAAAAAAAAAAAAAAACTATACATGTATTTTCGTGCCAAGCCGATTCTGAGAAAAATAACGGATTTTTTTTTTTATTCACAATGTTCTGTTAACATATTGCATAAATCGATCGTATTTAAAAATTCTAAAGCATAATATTCTATATTTGTGTATCATTTTTATTATTTTATGATTTTTATTTAGCTATCTTCTCCATGTATCTGTAGACATTAATTTTCCGGCCGGGATAATACTCGGACAAGATCATGGAAAGAGTCATTCCAATTATTATTAATAGATTAAATTTTCAAATTAAACTGAGTAAGTAAAGTACTTTCAGAGTTTAATTGAACAAAGAAATGTACAAGAGAAAAAAAAAGGAGAGAGAGAGAGAGAGAGAGAGAGAGAGAGAGAGAGAGAGAGAGAGAGAGAGAGAGAGAGAGACAGCCTCTATTCCTAGATATCTGTTTTATCAAATATAAATTCGTATTATTTTCCAAAAATATTCCAAGCAGTAAAAGTAATTTTTTTTAAGATTAACAAATTCGTCTGACAGTAATATTCGTCTTTTATCTTCCATCTTCAACTTCACACGGTTCACAGGAAGTCCTCGTGCTTGTCCTGTTAATCAAATTTATTCGACAGTGAGGGTGTGGAAATCTCGTTTCATCGAGCATGCCGAAGGCAAAAAGTCAACTACTATTTCCAAGAGGTTTAAACAGTTTTACCTATCATCACTTAATCTAATTTTTGCATTCCTGCAGAAAAAAATGAATAAATAATGGGATTATATACTTGAAAGGATTAAGTTTAAAATTGGATTAAAACATATTCCCTGCCAATTTAAAATACTTTTGTCGGCACATGCATTTTTTGAAATACTACTATTTAATGACTGTTTGATGTTCGTTTTACAAAACTGATTTTCTTGTGTTACAATACACATTAAATATTAATATTCTGGATAAATTAACTAAGAATTTGATTTTGGGAGAAAGGGCGCCGGGGGGATCTTAATTATACTGAATGGCAAATATATATTTAGGTACGGTGAATGAAGGAATTTTCTCTCGCTAATAATAGACTTAACGTAAAGTACAAAAAATTCTAATGTATGACATTTTAAACAGTTGGTATTTTCTAAATATTAAAATCACGCTATTGATTTAATTAGCTCTAGAGATATATAATTAACTGAATATCTGCAGTACTGTTCATAATTCTCAGACGTAATTATAGTTTAATATGTTTTCGTGCATTTTTGTTTAATACGTGTTATTTATTTATTTATTTTTTTTGTGCACTCTTGTCTTATAAAAGACTTGGACTATCATCCATCCCTGAATGATTTTTCGTCTTTTGCATTTCAAAATAAAATGTTGCCGTGCGTGAAGCATTTGTACATTATCCTTTTTAAAAGTTATTATTTTATCATCGTTCTACATACATGTAGGTACTTAATGTATTATTTTCCAGGGACATTTCATCGAAAAATTAACAGCCAACTTATAATAATAGAAATATGAATATGGTAGATATTTTTTGCAATGAAATAATTATATTTCAAACACGATATCTTAGTTATTTAATTAAAATACGTTTGAATCCTTACAGTACCATGTAAAAGATAAGTCCTTTCACTTCGGAGTTCCGTATGACAATGAAGACTGAACGATAAGTGAACAGTGAACGCAAGGTGAACGCAAAGTGAACGGAACGAAGCGCGAACGGTGAACGTTTTGTGAACGGTAAACGCAAGTGCATGGTGAACGGTGAACGCTAAACTATGAACGGAGAGCGAACGGTGTACGAACGGTGAGCGAACGGAAAAATGGGAAAGTAGAACGTTTCAGGGACTGTAATGTTTGTTCTTAATTGTTCAAATCATGAGCCCCGGAGGTACAGTCCCTGAAACCTTATACTCTCCCATTTTACCGTTCGATATACGTTACAGTATAATTCAGAGTAACCCACCACCCGGCGCCTTTTCTTCCGAAATCAAATTCTTAGTTAGTATATCCAGCGGTCGTTCACCGTTCAGGTGGGAAAGTAAAACGTTGTAGTGACTGTAGGGTGGGGCCATAATGGGGAATCAAAATTTTACGTAGAAATATATAGGAGAAATGTTTAAAAATCTTCTTCTCAATAACCTTTGGACCAGAAAAGCTGAAACTTATGTGGAAGCATCCTGGGGTAGGGTTTATTCTTAATTGTTCAAATTATGACCCAAGGGGTCGGGCGGGCCCACAATAGGAAATCAAAGGTTTACATAGAAATAAATAGGAAAAATCTTTTAAAATCTTCTCAAGAACCACTGGGCTAAAACTGCTGAAACTTATGTGGAAACATCTTGGGATAGGGTAGATTTTAAATTTTTCAAACCACGGGGGTAGGGTGGGGCCACAATGAGGAATCAAAGTTTACATAGAAATAAATCTTTTAAAATCTTCTCAAGAACTACTGGGCAAGGAAAGCTGAAACTTTTGTGGAAGCATCCTGGGGTAGTGTCGATTCTTAATTGTTCCAATCATGACCCTCGGGGTCGGGCGGGACAACAATAAGGAATCAAAGTTTAATAAAATAGAAATAAATAGGAAAAAACTTGAAAATCTTCTTATCAAGAACCATTGGGTCAGAAAAGCTTAATCTTTTGTGGAAGCATCCTTGGGGATGCCAAAGATTCTTAATTGATCAAACCATTACTACAGGGTGTCGGGCAGGCCCAAAATAGGGAATCAAATTTTTACATGGGAATAATAGGAAAATCTTGAAAATCTTCTTCTCAAGAACCATTGGGTCAGAAAAAAGGAAATTTTTGTGGAAGTATCCTGCGGTAGTTTTTATTCTTTATTGTTCAAATCGTGACCCCGGGGTAAGGGAGGGGTCGTAATGGGGAATCAAAATTTTTCATAAAGATATATAGGAGAAATCTTCAAAATTCTTCTTCTCAATAACCATTGGGACAGAAAAGCTGAAACTTTTGTGGAAGCATCCTGGGGCGTCGTTTATTTTTATTTTTTTAAACCATTACCCATATGTGTCGGGCGGGACCGCAATAGGGAATCAAAGTTTTACATAGAAATAAATAGGAAAAATCTTTTTAAAAAATCTTCTTCTCAAGAACCACTGGGACAGAAAGGCTGAAACTCATGTGGAAGCATCCTTGGGTAGTGTTAATTTCAAATCGTCAAAATTTTGGTCAGAGGGGTAGGATGGGGTCACAATATGTATTACAAGGGAGAAATCTGGTGAAGAACAGAATGGCCAAAGCTCCTCAGGTTAGCGATGTGGCCAATGGGCCTCTTGTTGTTAAAGAGTTCTCTTATAAATTAATTTCTAGTTGATCACGTGATCAAATCCCTCAGTAGATTTGGTCACCTACGAACAAAAAAGTCATTTCCCAGTGAACATTTTTAACAATGTTGTTACAGTTTATTACTTATATTAACATTTGAGACGAAGGATGTCCAGTAAAACTGCAAAGAACAATGATCGCTGCTGAGAAAAGTCTAACTATTTCATAAGTTTTTAAAATATTTGAAGTCAAAAGCGGTGGTATCGCCTGCATGTGTTAGGCCCTAAGTTGCACTGTGACAGAAATATGTAGACGAAGTATAACTTCGTTCTGTGATTCGATCACGCTATGACCTACGACTCCCAAATAACATTCCTACAGAATTGAACACATGTCCTCCTCAATAGGTTCATAGGAAAGATATTAGCAAATGTAAATATTTTGTGCTATTTTTTACCTGGTATTTTATTAAAAGTAAAGTCTTATGTGTGCAATTAATTCGTATCTCACTTAAACTTAAAGATAGATTCAAATACTCAGTACTTATATTCAATCTCTCTTCTCAATTTCATTAATGATAGTTAATCTACAATATATTGCAAAGTATTGCAATATTAAAAGTAAAATATTGCAATATATCGCAATATGGTTTTCACTTGCAATTCCCAGCTCTATATCTATGTATGATTAAGTGCGTTCATAATATACTTTATTCATTTTTCCAGTGAATATCCCAGACAATATGCTATGGGACAGTAAAAACAAACGAAAACAGTTTTTACTGAATCTAAGGGGAGAAGGGGAGGCTGTGCATTACAGAGGGCGATCGCATGACAGTATGGATCACGTGAGATGGCTATGGAGATACGGGGTTTATGCGAGACCTGACATCGTGAGATCCTGTATAGGACTCCATCCTCACAATGACATTTACATCATCGACAACAAACCTTATAGGAAACCAAGTAAGAAGAAATACCTACTGATGCTTTATTTGATTAAAAAACATGTAAACATTTAACACAGTATGATTACTCATTACAATTTTGCACGCCTTTACATGGACGATTCCATTCATCAAGATAAAGGCAGATATTGTTTTTTACGGGTTGGTAAATTCCAAGTGAGGAAGGGACCTATTTTGTACAGGCGTGAATGCCTTGGGGGCTAGCAGCCTATTTGTTGTCATTTTTCTTCTGATCATTATACACTTGAAGGGATTTACATGTAATGCATGCAGTGAAATACACAGATGTCAAACTTAACCTAATGTTGGGTCGTTGAGAAAATGCAAATTTAGGAGCAAAAATTTGTAATGAGACATATTGAGTTAACGAACAGTATTCAAGATAAAAATTCAATAAAACAATGCAAAATAGGAGCAACGCAAACACAGACATCCAAAACTAGAGTCGTTGTCAATAATCTATATTGTTTTATTTTTGAATGTTTGATAAAATCCATATAGTCTATGCCCTTCGACTTATCATGTAATCCACAAATACCTTCATCGTTCTGGCGATATTTTCTTCATTCTCTACATTCCATTTCCCCTTGAAGCTCCAATGCTACTAGATAAATTCATATTCTATCCAAATTGTAATAAAAAGCTCTCTTTTTAAGTTTTAATGAGTGGGTTAAAAATTAGCGATGATGTCATATTTATTTAAGCATTCTTGTCATTATTAAACCAGTGAATCTAGTCCTCTTGATTACCTGTGCCTCATCATGTCACGGCTGGTGATGATATATCTGACGAGAGACTTCTTTTACTTCACTGTATTGCTATCAAAAATTGCAAATTTTACGATTTTATAAATTATTGATAAAAGTAAATAAAATTAAGTTGTGATTTTGTCTGTCACTTTCGAGCATCTAATGATGCACTTTATTGACAGGCCTATCTTTGAATGCGATACTTAACCCTTTCTCTACCGGCACATTTTAGGTGATTTTGGAGACTTTTTGATATGACATTATTAAATCATTTCCAACCTTTTTATTCAAGGAGAAAGATAGGTATATTGCATACCATTTTGTAGGGAATGTCTAAGATATGATATTTTATTACTATTCAGATACTCAACAACTGACCTTATTAGTAAAAATGGAGGTCAAAGGTCAATTTAGTGCAAAATTTTATGGGATTTTTGGATATTTTGTATTCTTCAAGCTAAATATTTATTATGATGTATGTTGAAATAGGAAATCACAAAAGAGCATGATACTGTACTACATGAAACATATAAACTTTTTTTTTCAATTCTGCATATAACTACTTAAAAGCGGTTGCTTGGCAACCCAGAATTTTTTAATTTTCGGGCAAGAATTTTCGTTTATTACTCATCCTAGACACATTTATGCATCCCAGCACATATAAATGTTAGATGTGATGTCATAAAAGTACAAGGGACGAACAGCATATAAATTGTCTTAAAGTTTGACCTCATTAGTACTATTTTCAGGAGGTCAAAGGTCAAATAAGTGCAAAAGTTTCATCAATTTTTTTTCAACACTTTTCAATATTTTTGCCATAATTTTACACAATGGATGATGAAATGAAAAATTCTGAATATACTCTCAAGAAGGGATCAGAACTGCAATACCCATGCATCATTTTAGTTCAAATATCTGTTTAATGACCTTTAAATGGTTGCTAAGCAACAACTTTTTAAAGTTTTTGGCTATATACATGTTTGTTATTTCACATTCTGGACACATTCTCGACACTTTTTGTTTATTTTATGAAATTGTTTGTAAGAAATGGGCCATTAAGATGAAAGAACATTTTTGTATTTAAAATTGACCTTGACACTCTTGTTCTTAAGGGGGTCAAGGTCATATCAGTACAGAATTCTGCTTTAAATTGTAAGTAAATATCAATTTTGAAATGCTTCAATCATGGATAATTTATTTAATAGTTGACGTGATAAAAATGGCAAACGACAAAATTTGCAAGCAAAGAATTCTGGTCTGCTTCTTAAAAACCCCTAGCAAATCATGGATACAATCTTTTTGTTAAACAAAAAAATCCATTCTCTTGATACCATTAAAAATAATCTTTATTTTCATGGATTTTTTCATTACAAGATTTTTCTGGTATAACAGAGCTTAAGGGGTACAATAAAGACTTGACGTGTTATCTTGGAGGGAAATAATAATAATAAATGTAGCATTGGCAATATTTAACGCAAAACTGTTCAGTCAATAAGTTGAAAATGTGACGTTTATATCCAAATATACAAATCCAGAAATATATATTGCAAGATGAATTCCAAATCAGACTGAAATCTTCAACAAAATGTTGAAGAGCACTTTTACTTTGTGTCCACCATTCTTTTATCAACTGTCATTTCTCTGTAGGGCTGGAGGAAATTCTTTGACTTGTCCAAGACATTATTATTTGCTGTCAAGTACAAGTGATCAGCTTCTATCCTGTAAAAGATTTAAATATTTTGAAACAGATACATGTCATTGTGTATATAAATTTACATTTATAAATAAAATTAAGAACGCTAAAATTACTACATATATTTGATGTTCCTTTTAAAATTAAAATTGAATTTATTATGTGATTCAAGTAGTTAAATGATGTTGCTAAGTCAATGTATCAGGACTGATAATTCAACAACCTTGTAGTAAACCATCATGGTAAAATTACTGAACTAAAACAAATAGCATATATATGGCAATCTGACTAAAGTCTCTGTTTACGCTATCGCAACATATAAAAAATATCTGGCACTGGATGGAAGATCTAATTTTAATTAGATTGCTACAAAAGCCATGAAGGGACACATCAATTTTTCAAAAAAGTAAAAGATGAGATCTCGAATTAGACGATCCAATCCCAGGGATTACTAAATTGTTCCCTCGATTTATAATTCGAGATCTCGAATTAGACAATCCGATCTTACAGATTACTAATTCGCCCCCTTGATTCATAATTTAAGATCTCGAATTACATACTGGTAATTCGTTATCACAGATTAATAATTCGAGATCTCGATTTGATACAACGTCAGTCTTCTCATTTTCTCTGTGCTCTTGAATTTCATTACATATATGTACAGATACACCCAATCATTTTAATCAATTTGTGCGTTCTATTTATTTTGCTTCAGCAACCGGTCAGTTCCAACCTCTTTCATAACTAATTCAACTTATATTTATTTCAGAAATATTTATATGATAACACAGGACCCATATTCACTTTTACTATTTAGGACTTTCAATTATTCTAATATACATGTAACTTAAAAAACCTATTGTACAAATATCAGTACTAGCATATGGATTTGAAAATGTTCATGTATTTTTCTCATTTTGGACCGTTATATGTAATAAAAGGTAGGATGTAAAATACTACAATATTCTATTCTTTAAACATGTATTACCATATCTGATATGTACAGAAAAATAATTTTATTGAAATCATGGGAAGGGTTTACATTCCAAGGGAACGAATCATTTAAACTAAGAGAATGAATTATACAATCTGAGATAACGGATTGTGTAATTTGAGGGAACAAATTGATAATCTGTGAGAATGAATTGGCAATTTGTTATAACAGGTTTTCAATCCGAGAGAACGGATTGTATAAATCAAGAACTCGGTTTACTTTTATAAATTTTTAAAATTCTATATCCCTTCATGGCTTTCATAGATTGCATACTTGCATGGCTGCCAGGATTGTAAAAAGAAAGGAGACAATAGACTGCAATGTTACTTCAGGGCAAAATTCCTTGGGCAAGGCTGTTCGTGAGCATGGGAGTGTTGATAAACCATCCAGTGAGTTTGACTACCAATGTATATGACGTACGATATTTGGAAAGTGTCTGAAAAATTGAGAAAATGGAAATTCTAACCACATACTTTATGCAGATTGGAAATACAACAGCAGTCTATAAAAACAGCTTGTTCCATATCTCGGCATTCATTGAAATAGATATTACATGTTTAAATAATGTGTTTGTATGAATAATCAAGCATCATAAGTATTATGTGTTTCAAACACTTATTTTTCAAAATATAAATCAAATGTTTATAAACTTGTAAGAATGCAATATTATGAGAATGACACAAATGAAATTTGACTTTATTTTTTGAAATTTTAGAAATACAGAAATTTTCAAATACCAAAACAAAATTTTACCGGTTCATTGGTCTCCTTACATATTAATTGGCCTTCGTAGTTCATGGTAGGCTTAGCAAGTGGGTATTCACAGATGAAAGTATTGTTCCATATGGTGCCAGCACCCTAAAAATTCAATGTGAAAGTGGTACATGTACACACACTGGTACACACATACTGAAAACAACTATCCATTATTATGGCAACTTTGATTTTACTTTGAACTTTCGAGTGATTGTCAAAAGCATCAAAGTTCAAAAGCAACACAAAATTGGCTGAACAATACGAAATACGCTCACTGAAATATGAAGATCTAGTACATGTGTACATTTAGTTTTCTTTTGAACGTGAACTAATTGTGTTTTAAACTTAAACTATGCAGTCAATATACACGTATTCTCACCTGCTAATACCAAAGGCATGTCCGTATTATTTGAATCATTGATGTGATGATCTTCGTCGTGAAATAATCATGAAAATTGACGTTCAGATTTCGGATCGCCATCATTCATTTTGTTTACTGCTATGGCGGAAACACGTGGTTATTTCAATTCATATCAACTCATACAGTGATGAGTCGTATTTTTATTTATAAATGCGAGTTTTTATATTGTTAAATTTCGTCTTAGAGCTAATTAAATTGCAAATTAAGAATACAGTATAACAAGATACAATAATACTAAAAATCTGATTTTTTTTAGTAAAGATTGACGTTTAGGGAATCTACAATTTTTATCAACATTGTATATCACTATATGAAATATACATCATTACATGTAGATGAATAAATTAACATTTCACTTCACACAAAAGGCAGAACGATAGTATAT